CCCCCCTCCAAAAAAAAAATTTAGTTTATTTTTAAAAAATATTTTCAATTTCAATTCAAAAATTATTTTCTACTCTCTAGTAAAAAAAAGAGATATTTTCTCAAAAATAATTTTCATTCATAAATCAAGCACTAAAAAATCTTTTCCGGAAAATATTTTCTACTCACCAACCAAACATGAAAAAATAAGTCAAAAATCTACTTATTTTCTAGGAAAACATTCTCTAGGAAAACATTTTCCTTCATACCAAACACACCCTTAATCTGTGTCCAGAAAATAATCATAGAGCTTGCTAAAAAGAAAAAAAGGAGCTTACCCATGAAATACACAAGTAGCGACAGACTGGTCCCTGGTTAGATTAAAGTGAAAAAAAATCGAATGAGAAATAAATGGAGAATTAAAAGTATACATGGAGAAAAGTTTGAGTCCTCACCGAGAATCTGTTGTATAATACCTACAAAGACAAAGAAATTAAATTGTAGTGAGTGAATCCATTGTTTTTCCTAATTTGTTAGGATGGAAAAGAATGTTAATTAAGGAGCGGAGCAAATATAATTGAAGATTGTCCTTACTTCGTCTATAATCTCTATAAAATCGGAGCTTATCTATGAAAAACATAAGTGGCCTCAGACTACTGGTGCCTGATTAGATTAAAGTGCATAAAATATAGAATGAGAGATCAATGGAGGATTAGATTAGAAGCATATGTAGAGAAAAGTAACACCTACAAAGACATGAAGAAATTAAATTGTAGTGAGTGAATCCGAATTTCTTAGGATTGGAAAAGAATGTTAATTAAGAAGCAGAGCATATGTCCTTACTTATCCTTTGTCCAAAATCCCCATAATTTTGGAGCTTATACATTATATTCTCAAGTAGCGCCAGACTGATCCCTGATCAGATTAAAGTGCATAAATTTAGCAAATTTAGAATGAGAGATCAATGGAGAATTAATACTAAATGTAGAGAAAAGTTTGAGTCCTCACAGCGAATCCAATAAAGAACATCTACAAAGACATGAAGAAATTAAATTGTAGTGAGTGAATCAATTATTTTCCTGATTTCTGAGGATGGAAAGAAATGTTTATTAAGAAGCACATATAGTGAGTGAATGGAGAATTAAAAGTACATGTAGAGAAAAGTTTGAGTCCTCACCGACAATCTGTTCAATAAAACCTACAAAGACATAAAGAAATATAAAATTGTAGTGAGTGAATCCATTGTTTTACTAATTTGTTAGGATGGAAAAGAATGTTCACTAAGGAGCAGATCAAATGTATAATTGAAGTCCTTACTTATCCTTGGTGGAGAAATCTGCAGATAATAACGAAGCTCAAATCCGTCGAGGATGACTTGATGTAAATCAGAAAGGGAAATGTTGTTCTTTGTATAAATAATATTAGGCCATGAGGTCCAGCCTATAAATTCCACTCTGCATCCATCGCTGACTTCAAAGGCACTATATTGTGCAATCTTTAAATAAGTGTATCTGCAGCCACTAATTTCCACAAATGCAAAAGAAGTATTAACAGCAAATGGACAGTTGATCATGAAAAGGGCATCTACTGCATCGTTTGGCTGGAAGATTCTATAGGCCTGGTCGAAGAAGATATGCATAGGTCTGAAAGAGCATAGATCATCTTGTGTTTGTAAAGTTGGATCTACCAGGTGTATTGTCTCTCTATCATAGTTGATGTCTTGAACGTGCAACTTCTTGGAGAATAACGATATAACTGTTTGGTTACCTTCACAAGCTAATTCAAATGCTAGACCATATCCGCAATATTCTGGATCGGTGTTTAAGCGAAAAGGGTAGCTTATGTTACGGATATTGCCACAAGCAGAAGTGGGACAGTAGTAGTGCTTGCTCTTCCTAGCATTGCATGTTTGCAGAAAGAGGAGGATTAATACAAAATATTTTAGCAGAATGGTTCCCCTACACAAATACATTTGTACTTTCTTTCCAGCTACTAGCTATTTCCAAAAGAAGAAAAGAATTGAGACTTGAATGCGGGTGTGTTTGTTGGATACTTAAAGTTGTGTGGACTTTTCATTAACAATGGAAGACTAGCTTGTGTTTGGTCGTTGATGAGAAAGTTGCAATTTGATGAAGAGGAAGACTTTGCCGTTTACCTGTTTCCGTGTTCCAACACTGCTTTATTAAGTGAGTGTGACATTAAAGTCCTACGAGTATACTTTTCTTAAAGGAGAGTGAAAAAACTTTAAAAGACGTTGAGAATACTTTTCAAAGGCTTATCCTTCAATTTCAGTCATTTGCGTTTACCTATCTAATGAGCTAGCTATCATCTATTGGGATCTACAATTTTCTTCTCCAAATAATCTACAACGAGCATACAATGAGAGACTGATCTAGTCCACAAATTCCAGATATTTAGGATAACAAAAATAATACTCTATCACTCTGTCCCAAAAAAGTTGAATTTGGAGATAATTAGGATCTGAGGGAGTAATCATGGAAAAGTCTAACTTGATTAATGCCACATCATACATACAAGCAAAATTTTACACACTAATGCAAGTTTAGTACTATATATGATTGGCAACATTTCTAAAACCTCAGAATCTTTTTCTTTGAAACTATACAGTTTGTGGAGCGGACTTTTCCACACACCTTCCTGAGTTCCTTTACTTGGAAAATTATTGACTAGGTCAAATTAGTCCAGAATGGAGATATTCATTGACAAGTCATTTTGGGCATCTCATGGAATATGTGGACTAGATCAGTTTGTTAGTAGTAATTTGATAGAGGACAGGAGATAAGAAAGCTCAACTTTTAATAAACAAAGTTAACAATGGGAGACTTCAAGGCAATGGAAGACTAGTATTTTTAGTCCTTGATGAGAAAGTTGCAATTTGATGAAGGGCCCGGACCTCAAGAGGAAGACTTTGACGTTTACCTATTTATTAATGATCATAATATGCATACGGTATAATACATAAATGTGTCATTTAACTTGACTTCATTTCATATTTATGTTTTTCAATTTTGGGTGTGCACAAATAATCACTATAACTTGTATAAAGTCAACAAATAGACACATTAGTCATACATGACATAATACACATAGATCACCACGTAGGGTGATAATTATCGTGTAGGATGCCACGTAAGACGCGTGTGCCAATTTGTTCAACTTTATACAAGTTTAAGTGTCTACTTGTGAACGTTCAAAGTTTTGGGGGGCATAAATGTGAGGTGAAGCCAAGTTAAATGACATATTTATATATTATATATGCCTATGCATAGTGATGTTTGCTTGGGTCAAGACGGGTGGCTGAATTAGGGCAAAACAATGGATTATAACCCAATTTGTCCAACTCAATATGATTTTTATTTTTGTTGCTTTATTCTTTTATAAATTCGTTTTATTACAAAAGTAAAACTAAGGCTATATATACATCCCTAATCGTCCCAGTCTTTCAGATGTGCTACTTGACCTATTCCCAGTCTAATCCTTTTCATTCAAGTTTGGAGCAATTATGTGATTTATCTTTTCATGAACTAAATTTGATATTCTTACAAAGATTACATCAATCTCACTTTGGGGCAAAAAACCCCAAATCCCCAATTTAAAACACTATTTAAATCACTAATTTGATGATAAGAATCGCGAGGAAAGCTTAATTAGAAGGTTAGATATATGCTTCACAAAGAAATCCAACAAAACCCCATTAAAATCATCCCAAACTATAATCCCAAGCCCCAAAATCGAGTGATGAAGTCTTGAGGTTGAAAATAGACTTTTAATTATGTCCATGTGTATTTGTTCAGCGCGAACGCAATGAATGAGACGGACCAACTCAGACCTGACCCTTCGTAAAATGTGAAGCCCTTCTCGCATATATGCCATTTTAAATGAACAATACACAACTATAATCAATTAGAACATATGTCTACTTTGACAGAATTATCAACAGAATTTTCTAACAAAGCCATTGAATCAGACGAAAATGTCATAGAACTTCCCATCATCTGATGAACAATCGGCTGAGATTGAAGAGGCTGAGGAGGTACTTCTAGCACTTCAACTTCACCTTCAAGCATTTCTAATACTTTACTCATCAAAGGGCGCTGTATTGGATTTGTTTGTATGCACCATAATGCAACTAAACTCAGCTTTCTAGCCATCTTCTTTTCATCATCATTTGCTTCTTCATCCACCAGGATCTCCTTCCCCTTGTTGAACTTATCGTAAATATAATAAGGAAAATATTGGCTGGAATTCTCTTCATTTGCAACTTCATGTCTATTCAAGTCCAGAATTTCCATTAGCAGCATTCCAAAGCTGTAAACATCAGCTTTGTTAGAGATCGCTCCAATGCTTCTGCTGATCAATTCTGGAGCTACATAGCCAATCGTTCCATGAGCAGCTGTGAGATTCACAATGCTATTATCTGTTGTATATAATTTTGCAAGCCCAAAGTCAGAAATCTTTGGAATGAAATTCTCATCCAAAAGAATGTTGTGTGGCTTGATGTCAAAATGCAAAATTCGTACATCACAGCCTCGATGCAAATACCCAAGTCCTCGAGCCACTCCAACTTAACAGAGGACTTCCTTCTTGACTGGTGCTGATGTACTTGTCAAGTGATCCATTGGGCATGAAGTCGTATACAAGAGCACACTTTGTTCCCTCAACACAATATCCAACGTGTCCAACCACATTGACATGATGGATCCTTCCAATGGTAGCTACTTCATTCATGAAGTCTTGACCACCAGCTTTAGGCTTGTTCAACATCTTCACTGCTACATCCCTTCCACTTCGAAGCTTTCCTTTATATACACTGCCGTAACCTCCCTCACCTAATTTCTCTTTGAATCCTCTGGTCATTCTCTTTATGTGAGAGTAATTATATCTGATTGGCATGAAATTATTTTGTGTTCGCAAAAAGCCCTCAATAGTATTATCATACATGGATAAATGCCTTCTTTTGAATTTGATCACCAGAAATACAATTACTAACGGAAGGAAGATCACAAATTTTGCTCTGAAATAGTACTCTGCACATTTGAGAAGTCATAACGAAGTAACTTCCTTTTAAGTCAACAAAACATAGAGTAATGAATTAAACAACAACAATATACCAATGTAATCGGTAATGAATTAAACATCTTTATAAAAAGTGGACATTATTTTAAACCAACACTTCCAAACTACCAATATTAGTTAGAATGTTTGGAAAGGAATATATGTAAAAAAAAAATATTGATTTTCACAAATTCAGATTGCTATTTAAAACTTCACCAACAGTAATATATTTCGAATTATTCTTTTTTAGAATTTTTGTGTTGGGCTCCTTGTTGTGCCGTAATTTTCCTATTTTTAGAAAAAATCACTTTTTGAAATGTTCTAAGTATAAAACAATTTGAAAAATACTTAGAAAGAGTCGCCACTTAATTTTTTAAAGAAATCAAGAAAACTTATAAATTTCAAAGATTTAAACAGAAAAAAAATCATTTGAAAATACCAAAGAGGGTTCGGGGTTCAATTTACACTTCGAGAAGGGTTTAAGCATTCGAAGTGTCCGCTAACATGCGGTTGACCTATGACTTGACTTACAATATATTTGACTATTTTTAGAAAAAATAATTATTTAACATAAAAAATAATAACTTATAATATATTTGATTAAGAAAATAATTAAATAAATGACGCATTTTATTTCATTTTATTTTTTAGAGAAAGGGACCCAAAATGATACATTTGACTCGAAATACAAGTGATTGAAATATTAATTAGATTAATTAGAATTTATTTAATTCATTTTGAAATAATAATTCAAACCAATTTAACAAATTAAAGCATGAATATTATTTTGAATTAATTGACTAAACTTTTTGAGAAAATGACTAAGTATATATTTTATTTTTTAATTTTTTATTAATTGGAAAAGTTTTAACTAACATTTTTATAGTTTATTTAAGAAAAATATTTTAACTAAAAATAATAATTTTAAAATGAGTATAATATGAATAAGTGAAGAGGCGTTAAAACATATATCTTAAGAATAAAAGGTTTAACTTAATTAGAAAGTATAATTTGATCAACATATTTGATTAATAAAGTAAAATAAATATTAAAAGTTTAACCAACACAAAGAAAATAACTTATCTTTTGGGGAATCTAATTAGGTTAATTAATAATTCTAAAGTTAGAGTTTTGGGGAATTTAATTAAATTAAGTCGCAATTTAAAAATAAATAAATAAATAAATAATCACATAATTAAATAAGTTAGGTAAAGGAAAAATTGAATTTGGACCCTTCTTGGGCCTGCTGCTGGAATTTTTTGGTTTTAATCCAATTTCCGTTTTTGTATACATCTGATGTATATCAGTGTATATCGAATGTATATGTACTCGTTTTTCTTGTATTTCAGACTGTATACCAAATGTATACAACCTAATTCAGCTTCCAAACACCTGTTTCAATTTTTGGCCTTATATTTCTGCATTTCGACCTGTATATCATGTATACGGAATGTATACAGGCTGTATATCAACCCTTTTCAACTTTCCAAGACTTGTTTCAGTTTTCCAGCCTTGTACAGCCCTATTCGGATCACCCGGCTGACTCAAAATAACTCAACGACATGCAAAGGAGATGGATTTGAGTCCAAATTGGACTCCACGACAAGTTCACATGAGACATAAACAAAAATAAAATTAATACTCATAGTAGTGAGTCAAAATAAAACAAGCTATAGAAACCACAACAAACAATAATCCGACATATTCAACAAAGGAGAAGGAAAACAAAGTTCTCTAAATTTTGGACAAAACTAAAACAAATATTTTCTCCACAGTGAAAGAAAATAAGAACAGATGGCGCCTGAATTTCCGTTTTTCATTCAACTTAAGATACACAGAGAGTACTTAGAAGTTCTAAACATATGATCTACATGCATCTTGTAAACCATTAAAAGATTGCTTGTCATCAAGTATTATTTAAACAATCATAAAAGAAAATAAAGCAATCTACTGGAAACTAGCAAACATCCAAACAAGAAAACATAAAAGATAATGTTGCCATTGACACTAACCCAAAACTATATTCCATTAAGTCTAAAATTAGCCCTAAGACAGCTAGCTTAAATGATCAATTCATCTACTCTATCTTAACTTGATGTAAACTATGTCAAACTCGAGACAAATCAACTCAACGTGCAAGGAAACAAAGACTACGACTAACACTATTACGAATAAGTTTTTAGAGCTGCAAACAACTAACATATGAACCATGTTACTTAGTCGAATATAGATGGAGCAAACACCATGAAAAAAGGGATGAGGTAGCTCATACAATTTTACTAGCTAGAGTAATGAGAAGAAGAAATAGCCTATACATCAGATTATGAAAACCAAAATCACCTATAAAGAAATGGTCTCTGAACAACCATTTTTAACAGCCAACCAAACAAGCTTAACAGTGAACTAAGAGGACTTGGACCAAGGAGAAACAAACTCGAGACCGAACGGAATCATTAAGACTTCAAGGAAACAAAGATCAAGCAAACAACATGAATATCAAACAAGTCATACCACCGACTCGTCGTCAACACTCCGAGAATCCTAACATCTAAATGATTTCCAATGATCAAGAAATGAACAGTCGTCACATCAGTTGAGCAACAAGATCACAATATCAAGCCATGAACTAAGCGATTCTTGGCCCACGACAAAGAAATCTAAAATCGGAAAAGGGATGTTACCTTCTTCGGAGCAGCGAGACTAGGACGACGAGCTTAACCACCAAGAACTTCCACCACTGTGAGCAGATTTAGATGAGCTCCGAAAAACAAACAACTTTGAACTCGAATAGAAGAGACTCAAACTCTTTTTTTTTTTTTTTTTTTACTTTCTTTCAGGCAGTTCTCTCTGTATTTTTTGTGTCTCTGTAAACTATATCCTCTTAATTTTTCTTCTCCCCCTTCAAATGAAAACTAAGGAGGGCCTTTATAGAGGAGTGAAAGGGCATATTTAAAGGGGGAAAACGGATTGAAAATTTGAATTCCAAATTCAAAATCTTGGAGAGATAAGAAATAAAGTTGTCCATTGTAACAATTTTCAACGGACAAGAAGGGAGAGGGGAAGAGGAGAACGTGATTTGCTGCGGGATTTCCGGTCTGAGCGACTGTTCTCGTCTGGATTTCGCTGGATTTCAGCGATTTGGTCGCGAAGAAGACAAGTTACAGAGGTCTGGGTCGCTGTATTGGTATTTGCTGGTGTCTTTTTATTTTGGTATTGGGGTCGTTAGTTTTATTGTTGTTGTATATGCTGCTGTTGTATTGTATGAATGTGGGTTGGGTTAAGTGAGAAAGAATTGGGCTTCTAAAATATTGAATTGGGCTTCTAGTGGATTAAGTTGCATGCTGAAAATTGCAAAATAAAAGGGCCCAAAATGGTTTTGTCCCAAATGGGTTTAGAGAATTTGGCTAATAACTAAATAAAATGAATTAATATAAATTAACTAATGAGCTTCTTAATCTTAACGAAATAAAATAATTAACTCAATTATAAACTAATTATTTTCAAAAATATAAACTATTATATAACTAAACTAATTAACCAAATATTTAAGTAAAACTAAAATCTTTTTTTTGTGACGATTTTCGAGTAATCATAAAATATATTAATTATATACATAATTATGAAATATATATATATTGTCTAAAAATTATAAAAACAATAAAATTAATTAAAAGTAACTTAAAAAATATTTGAACTTTATAAAAACCAATTATTTCAAATCGTTTGAAATTTGAGAAGCTCGATGATTAATTTAAATTGTGGAGGTCCAAAATTGGGTGTCAACACTCCTCAACTGTGTATTTTTTTCACAAAAATTAAGATCAATGGAATGTTGATCTGTGTCCAGCCAAATAAAGGGATATATAGGAGCTTACTCAAGATGAGCTGAAGTAGCACTAGACTGGTCCCTGGTTAGATTAAAGTGCAAAAAATTTAGAATGAGATATCAATGGAGAATTAAAAGTATATGTAGACAAAAGTTTGAGTTCTCACAGTGAATCCATTGAAGAACACCTACAAAGACATGAAGAAATTAAATTGTAGTGAGTGAATCCATTGTTTTCCTAATTTCTTACGTATAGAGGATGAAAAAGAAGTGTTTATCAAGAAGCTTATATAGTGAGTGAATGGAGAATTGAAAGTACATGTAGAGAAAAGTTTTGAGTCCTCACCGAGAACATATTCAATAAAACCTACAAAGACATGAAGAAATAAAATTGTAGTGAGTGAATCCGTTGTTTTTCCTAATTTGTTAGGATGGAAAAGAATGTTCATTAAGGAACAGAGCATATGTAATTGAAGACCTTACTTATCCTTTGTGGAGAACTCCGCAGATAATAACGAAGCTCAAATCCGTAGAGGATAGCATGATGAAAATCAGAAAGGGAAATGTTGTTCTCTGTATAAATAATATTAGGCCATGAGGTCCAGCCTATAAATTCCACTCTGCATCCATCGCTGAGTGCAGAGGCATCTATGACTCCAATCTTTAAATAAGTGTGTCTGCTTAAATTGCAGCCAATAATTTCCACAAATGTCGAATAATTATTAACAGCAAATGGACAGTTGATCATGAAAATGGGATCTGCTACATAGTATGAGTGGAAGATTGTATTGGCTTTGTTGAACAAGTTATGCTGAGGTTTGAAAGAGCATAGATCATCTTGTGTTTGTAAAGTTGGATCTACCAGGTGAATTGTCTGATTATTAGTTGATGGCTTGAACGTAAAATTTCTTGGAGAATAACCATATGACTGTTTGGTTACTTTCACAAGCTAACTCAAATGCTAGACCATATCTGCAATGTTCTGGATCAGTGTTTAAGCGAAAAGGGTAGCTTATGTTACGGATATGGCCACAAGCAGAAGAAGGACAGTAGTAGGGTTTGCTCTTCCTAGCATTGCATGTTTGCAGAAAGATGATTAAAAGGATTAATGTAAAATATTTAAGCAGAATAGTTCCCCTACACAAATACATTTGTACTGTCTTGATTCTTTTCTTTCCTACTATTTCCAAGAGAAGAAAAGAATAGAGACTTCGGGTGTGTTTGGTATATATATATCCATACTAGTTTCTGGACATGTGTGTCCCATGCAATATTTTATAAATTAATTAGAAAGATTAAAATTCAATGAACATGTTATGACAATAATTTTTATTATAGAAAACTAAATTAAAGAAGACTAATAGAGAGAAAATATAGAAAAAAAATAAACATAGAAGAAAAAAATAACTTACACATTCTTTTTAAGACTTTAATCATAATAATACATAAATGGAAAAAAAAATACAAAATTGGTACATAATTTTCAGAGTTTTTATTGACATGCATTCTCTCATATCCAATCAAAATTCAAAAGTCTTCTTCATCAAGTCAAACTAAACCACAAATCAAATAGAAAAATTATTTCATTTTCGTAAAGTAATATATAATCAAACTTATAAGGTAGATATACCATATACTTTATTAGATGTTGATGGCTTCACTACTTTAACCTTAAAATAAAAAGGATAATCTTTGGTGTGAGCTTCATGAAATAAAAAAGATGAATTTATATAGATAAAAATAGAGGAATACTACAAGACATCTTAAAGTTTTAAATTAAATATTTGAAGGTTATGAATATGAAAAACATGAAAGTTATGGATATTAAGAATGACAATTGAATAGGTAATTCGATATAAATTATGAAGGAAAACATTTATTTAAAACAAATACATAAGAAAAAGATAAGTACAAATAATATTTTAGTGAAACACTATACTAACGGTGGAATTTCAACATGTAATTAACTAAATATTTATAATATTTTAATTTAGTGTAGGGTTAAAATGGTATTTCAACTTTCAACCTTTTTTATTCCCACTTTTAGTAATATATGATGAGGATTGATGATGATATCATGATATGATGAATGATGTGATATATGAAGGAAAATATTTTCCTAGAAAATGTTTTATTGGAAAACAAGCTAGTTTCTAACTTGTTTTTTCATGTTTGGTGGGTAAAAAAATAAAAGTTGAAAATTGAAAATAATTTTTAAAAATAAACTTTAAATTAGTATTTTTTTGGAGGGGGTGGTAGGGGGTTGGGGTAGGTGTGGGTTAAAGAAAATGAAATTTTGAAAATTTTACATTTTTTTTCAAAAAAAACTTTCACAATTTATTTTTGTTGGGGCGGGGTAGAGATAGTCAGAGGTTGAACGGGGTAAAAAAAGTCAAAATTTTTTAATTTTAAGTTGTTGATTTTTTTTGGTTGGGGGGAGGGGCTGATCTGGGGGAGGGCCAAGGATAGGGACAAAATAAATTAATTTTTATTAAAAAAATATTTTTAACATTTTAATTGTTTTTTTTAATAGGAAAGGTCGGGTACGGAATGGGGTAAGAAAAAAATTGTAATTTGAGGTTGGGGGAGAATTTTAGAAAATGTTTTCCTTAATTTTTGAAGGGAAGTCAATATCCTTAAATTTAAGGAAAATAAGTTGATTTGAAAAACATTTTTCAAAACATTTAAGTCAACCAAAAATGAGAAAGTTGGAAAATATTTTCCTCCCTACCAAATACACCTTCAATGTTTTCTAATATACCAAACACACCCTTCCATATTATTATGTATGAGTAAATGCAATTAAACTAGCTAGCTAAATTGAAGCTATGTGGAATTTTCATCAACAATTGGAAACTTCAAGTCAATGGAGGACTTGTGTTTGGTCGTTGATGAGAAAGTTGCAATTTGATCAAGGGCCCTCAAGAGAAACACTTTGACATTTACCTATTTATTTATGAAGGAGATGGAAATGTTAGGTTGATAATGAGAAGGAAATGAAACATCAACAATAAAAAATAAAAAATATATATTTAAAATAATAAAATAAAAAAGAATTTAAAATGATAAAACTAAAAATAAATTATAACAAAAAAAATAAAAATAAAAAGTGATCCATATGTAATTATATCATTTAATTTACCACAATCCACTGAGAATTGGAGAGTATAATTACTCCTTGTCAATTACATCAAATTAGTTGTTGACCAAGTAATTACATGGTCAACCAAACATGTTAGACAATATAATTACGCTTAAATATACCAAATCGAATTAGCAAGATGACTTTCCAAACAGGCCTCAGGGAAATGAGCTTCATTATGTGAGTGTGACATTTAGGTTCTGCGATTGCAAAGAGAATATTTTTCTTAAGGAGCATGCGAAAACCTTTAAAAGACGTTGAGAATACTTAATTTTCAAAGGCTTATCCTTCAATTTCAGTCATTGGCGTTTACCTATCTAATGAGCTATCAATCATTTATTGTGGTCTATAATTTTCTTCTCCACATCATTTCCATCTAGTATACAAGCTAGCCTTGAGAGACTGATCTATCTAGTCCACAAATTTCAGATATTTAGGATAACAAAAATAATAATTATCTCTCAGTCCGAAAAGAGTTGAATTTGGAGATAATAAGTACTCCCTCTGTCCCAATTTATGTGACACATTTCGAATTTCGTGATTCAAACAAGTCTATCTTTAACTGTAAATATTTCATATATCTTTGAAATATTTTGAATTATCAATTATTGAGACTTATAGTACTTTTAATGTAGTTTACAAATATATAAATTTCATTTTAAAAAATTTGAAAGTTTCATGAGCAAATTCTCAGTCAAACTTAAACTGTTTAACTTTCGAAAAGCGAAATGTGTCACATAAATTGGGACAGAGGGAGTAATCATGGAAAAGTCTAACTAGGGAGTAATTGAAGAATTAATGCCAGATTATACATACAAACAAGCAAAATTTTACACTCTAATGAACAAAAATTAAACCCTTTTTCCTTTAAACTATTTTCTATCCTGTGTTCCTAACCAAATGATTCCCGAATGTAGTCGATATAGATTAAGGGTATGCTAATTTGTGTCCAGCTGAGCCACATAATGCATGTGTACTTAATACTATGCATCCACCCCCTTCACATCCTAAATTCTAAATTCGCCTTTATAAAAACTGGCATTCTCTATAATATTGGGTAAAGCTTTGAGGAAATAACCGACTTTTCTTTTGGATGAGTGTGTTTGAGAGAACGACTGTTTCTCAATTTATCATTCAACTCATTTCTTTCCCATTGTGGACATCCGATTAACATGGTTTTAATGCAAGGATCTGTTGTAACTCTGTGTAATTGATGATACTCACAAATCATGGAACCTGGTCCCAGAGTACTTGAGCATGTATTTCTAGTAAAATGGTGAACAACTGTAAAAGTGTCACACTGATGCGGTTGGTGAGCACGGGAAAAGAGAACAATGTACTCAACCAATGGGAGAACACTAGGTTGTTTTGTTCAGAGGATAATATATCCTCATTGACATGAAACAACCTAGTCAAGACATTCAAGCTAGCACAACAATTTTAAAAGGTGTATTTTGTCTTTGGAGATTACAAGCATTCAAGAACCTCAATGGACATGATAGAGTTATCAACCGTGTCTTTTGATTGTTGCATAAGAAAGGTGGTGTCGTGTGTGATTCAACTTGTAAGACACGTTTCTAATCTATAAAGGAACGGATCGTGTCTTCAGTACTTAATCTAACAATGAGCATGGTTAGAGTTGACTGTGTAGAGTGTGATTGAAGTGTATATTAATTACATTTAGTTTAGGCATAATACATATATTGGACCTTAAACTTGGCTTCAAATTTTAACTTTGACCTCCAACTTTCAAAGTGCACAAATAGACACTTTAACTATCCAACCTTTTAATAAATAAACATGCGTGTCTTACCTGGCAAAACGCGTGATGTGCACGCATTTTGCGCGAGTGAGAAGTAATTTTTGAGGCACACAACAGTGAAAAAAATGCTGAAATGACAACTCTACCCTTGATTAATTTTTTTTTTTT